GTATGTTAAAAAGTGTGTTGATCGTTATAGAGAAATCGTGGTTTTACGACACTGAGCAGCAGACATACAGGCGAGCCTCGAGGAGGACAAACAAACTCTGACTGGAACTGAGAACAATAAAACAAGTTTTCTTCTGTCCCAGCACAAAGGATCATTCAGTGCCTGGAATGAGGGACGAGTAGGATGAACAAGTCAGAGCACTGAGAATAATTAAATAAAATAAAGTATTTCTTTGACAATCTCTTAAAAATATGTTAGAAAAATCACAAAACTTGGTAGAAAATAAGTTCCAAAGCAAAGGGACTACTTCGAATATTCCTCTTCTAGATCTTCCTATTGATTTCACAAAAGTCTGTATGTGCAACGCGTATCTCTCAAACCGTTCATCTTATCGTGCAGTGCCGGGTTCGTTGCGATTTGGACACACGATATGTTAAAACTGATCAAATTTGGCATTGTGTCTTCAATCTGGGGATTAAACTTACTTCTTCCACGTCTTAAACTACAGCAACTGTGTCAAAATCACTGTCGGATCATGACAAAGATTAATCTGGAGTAAACCTTAGACAGGCCCTGACACATCTCTGCTGGTTCATGTTTCTTACTCTGATCATGTTTTACCTTCAGAAAAGAGACAAATCCAAATCGCTACCGGATCATGATGATTCACCACACAGGACTAATGACACAAACAATCATGGGAGTGGCAGGAGCTGATCACCGTTATGGCAACAACGTTCATAGAAACACTTCATTTTGAGCAATTAGTCTTCACAGGTAAAGCACAACGTTTGTTTTGTTGCATCAATGCTTTATGTTGCACTAAATAACATAGCCATGAGAAACATTGATGATAAAATCCTCACTGCAGATAAACCAGGTAGGATGAGGTTTTCTAACTTCACTCTGCTCCATAGACATTATATATGACAGTTTATTGTAGAACTGTTTGGGGAGGACTCACTAATGACAAGGAATGAATCTGAAGTAGCTCCGGAGCTTTAACACAGGACAGGCCAAGTGTAGAGCCGGCAAAGCATGAACTGGAGCCGTCTGGTTTCACACAGACTTAGGAGAGTTATTCTGTCCCTCCTCTTCCTCATCTTTGTTGTTACTGTTACAGATTTGTCTGATGTTTACTTGACTGTGTATTCTGCTAAGTAATTCGAGAAGTGATGCAAGTTGATATGAATTTCTAGACCTTCCTTATTATAAGTGGTAAAGATTCCCTGAAATGCAGCTTCTCCTTTCACTGCACTTTCACTTTCACCTGGATTAAACCTTAGACAGGCGCTGACACATGTCTGCTGGTTTATATCTCTCATATCTACGGTTTTACAGCATGTTTCAAGATACACTATGTGCCCTTTGTCATGTTGCTGCCATCCAGGCCGTATCGTTATCATTGTCAGCAGCAGAGTTAATAACCATATAACCAAGTTTACAGTAGTTTGTAATAAAACAAACCACAAACTGGAAGTGGAGACAGAGGTGTGTGTATGATAAAATAATTTGAGTTCCATCAATCATTGTTTTCAGAAGGTCATCATATTGAAAGTAAACTCTGTTATGGAGCAACAGCTGTTGACGACAGTGAAATCGCTCTTACTGTAACACTGTTTGCAAGAACATAAGTAATGAAGATGGGAAACTCAGTGAGAGTTGAAAGTGGACAATCCAGTCTTAAATTCCTGCACACACGCACAGAATTCCTTGAAACTTACTCTGACCGTAATAATAATAACTACCGACCCAACCCTAACTTTAAAGGAAAAAAATTCACTCCTAATCTACTCTCCACTATGCTGATGGAGAGGTGGGTGAAGTGTTTGAGTCCACAAAACCCTTTTTGACTTTCAGGAGTAAACAATGTTGCAGCCAAATCCAATACAATTCAAGTAAATAGGGACCACTTCTTCAAATGTCAGACAAAAACCTACTACATAACTCCATACTGGTCCTGTGGTGTCATGCAAGTGTCCGCAAGCCTCGACTTCCAAATTTGATGTTTTTAGCCTAAACGACAACAGCAGAGGTAACAAATTGATTTGACAGTTTGAGTTTCTATTTTTCAGGCAGGGAGGTACAGGCATTTCTTTGTCAACAGTTGGAATGACACAGGGTGCTAAAATTAACCAAATGCCTCAGAGACGAAAAGTTTTTATTGACCTGACAAAGAAGCACACGTGATGACACACCCTTTGACACACAGGCCCCATTCATCCTCATCATAACATCTATCTGTCTGTGCTGGTTCAAGCTGTGACAGGAAAAACTACATGAAACATTACCTGATCTTTTGACGGCTGAAAATCGAAGGTCCTGAGACACAGTTAATGTGTCAAAAACACCTCTGCAGCTTCCACAAGTTCACGTGCACATGCAACGACATGTTCATGGAGTTTAATCTGCTAATATTGCTTCATATTGTCTCATATCTGCAATGGCAAAAAAAAAGAGTCCAACTATGCTGATGTGATTTACTACAAATGTTCCTTTAAGACGAGAAACAGCAAACATGGATTTCCGCTGCACTGCATTTTTCTTCCATCTGTAATCTATTGATGAACACAACGGTTCCATGTGGAAACACCAACAACAAATAAAACTGATCCTTCATCTTTGTTCATATCTACTTTTTTAATGCTCATCCATGCATTCAACATATTTTCTGTCCCGTTTCAGGCATGAACTGCTGCATTCATACAGATGCACACATTCTCTGCAGCGTGCGAGGATCCGCAGTCAGACACATGCACTCCATTGTGTGGAGCTGGCTATGTTTCAGTCTCTTGTCTCTCTCCCTGTTTCACAGAAATGAAACTCATGGGATATGTGCTCACCTGCCGTGAGTGCATGATAACATTTGCAAAAAAGGAACGTACACATGGGCCTATTTCAAACAGCATTGCAGCTGTAGTGAATTTATGACCACGAGAAAGAAGTTTGAAAAGTGTGTTTCTGATTAAGCTCAACCTTCTTACTACCGTGACAACAGAGACTTCAACAGCAGCCCAGTTCTCCTCCCCCCCTCCATCTCCTCAGTTGCATCAGGCAACACTGATCTGACTGCAGCATGGTCTAACTATGCATTGTAAACATAGCGTTTCACACTCTGATTTTAAAAATAGATAAGATTACATTTCAGCCCTCAGAAGATTATTCCCAAGGCCACCCGCAGAATACATTCTGATACAAGCTATAAACCAGCATTTATTTATAAAGTAAAGTTAGAGGACGTCTTTAATGAGTCCTTTATTAGGAAAAACTCCTTTATTAGGAAAAAAAAAAGGGATTAAATAAAGATAGGACACTTTCAACTCTGGGAATCTGCTGCTCTGTGAATACCTTTCTGTTATTACCTAAGGACACACTTCAAGTTATGCACATGCACACAACAATAACAGACCCACACCAGTGCAGGGGACACAACAGGGGTTGCAAGTTTCTGGAGAGGCTCCATGAGGGACGAGGATTTTAATGAACGCCTGATGCTGACTGACTTAAAGACCAGGTGCACATAAATGACACCATCAGACAGACATAGTGGAACTATTTGAGTCAGGTCTGAAGAAATGAAACTTAATTTGACTTCATGCCACCTATCTGTCTGACTCCGCCTCTTTCAGCCAGCTGACCATGGATATTAACTTTCTGTTCACGGTCTCCATTTACTCAAACTGGGAAGCCAGCAGTCCTGCTGGTCATTCTCATTTCTCTTTCACCTTGTAATGAAGCCGTGCATGACGAGAGTGTAACTCTTGTAACTCAAGAGTGTAACAATGCTGCTACTGTAAACATAAGACTGACTGTTCATGGCTCGTGACTGTATTTTGCCACACCCATGAAACACTTGACAGCAAACACTGAGGTGGAGTCTGGAAAGGTTTCTGTTCAATCTTTAAGATTAAAAGAAAACAGATGTATTGTCAGTTTCCTTTTGCATCACATGTGGACTCTGTCAGACAGATATCATGTTTAAAAAAAAAGAAGAAGCTGAAGTGAAATTTGAAACATTTCCAACACGATCTCAGAGTTCTCTGCTGTTACAGACTGGTTTTACTTGGTATTATTAGAAATCACCTAAAATAGAGCACTTCAGCTTTATGTGAAACAGTCTCAGAGCAGAACAGACAAGAGTCATCACTGTCCACATAAAGAGGAATATGAAAAACTATAATGAGTCATCTGAATGTAAGCAATACTCCTAAAGTTGGGATTCACAGTAGAAATGGCTCAATGTGGTAAAATCCCAAGTAGTGAAATGATCTAATAGGATATCACAATAGTGAGAGATAATCATGTATAATTAAGTTTGTAGATATATTTAAAGGTAAACGGAAGAACCTCGGTTTCTCATGCTTTTTAAATCACATCATTTATTTCTCATTTCCCTTTATTCTTGTACATCTCTTCATGGTTTTATATTATTTCTGCAAAATAAGGGTGCAAAAAGTGAAGCCTCGACAGAAACATGTTAGCATACTACACGTTGACTTTACGCCAGCGAGTACGCGTAAGAAACGTGAGAACAGGGGGATGAAAATGTGGAAACGGTGCAACCAGAACGTCCCCCAACGTGTCCTGTGGAGTACAGAAGGACAAAGACAAGAGGTCAAGCAGGGGAGCCACCTGGAGGAGGGAACACAGGGGTGCAGGGACTTTTCAAACACTCCTCCTGATTATCATTCTTTTTTGCTGAACCTTCATGTGTGTGCTTTAAAAAGCAACGACACTGACCTGACACTTGAGACCTTTAACCTGAGAGGTCATCTGTCATCAACACTCGGTGAACTGACTCGCTGACGTGTTTCATCACTTATTTATGAGTTCAAGGTGTTTCTCTGCCCGCGTCCCCACAGGACACCCCCTCCCCTCCTCACTCGGGACTCAATGTGTATAAATAGATCTCTTAACATATAATGCGGGTTTAATAAATGACTCAAACCTGTCTCTCGTCGTTCTGCCAACGTCTCGCAGTCATGTGGCTTCGTGGTTTTCATGAGATTCTCCAAATATCAGAGTTCAAAAGAAGTGAGAAAGGACTGCTCTAACTTGGTTTCACTTTCAATTTATCTTAAACTGGCTCTGTACCGCTAAACGTCTGTTCGAGGAAGTGGATGCTGGGCGGAGCAGTATAAAACCTCGAGAGGTGTTTTGCTTCTCTTCCACAGACACAGACGCGACGGAGAGCTGACAACCAGCGGCTCGGCAAGTGTCACAAGAAAACTGCCCGTGAGCCCCGCGCTGCGTTACGGATTCCTGCAGGATTTCCACCGCGCTCCCCGCAGCCTCCACGCGTCAGGATTTACAGACACGCGGGTCTTTAAACGCCGCTGATGTTGCAACAAAACGGTAAGAGTTTCTGTATTTTCACAATGCAATGGCTTTTGTGTTGCAGGATAAAAAAAGAAACGGTGCTTTGCAACGATTTTTTTTTTTTTTTTTTTAATTCCCTGGGCCTTGTGGAACGATACATCAGTCAGTGAACAGTCCAGCCTCTGGCTACACGGACTATATTTGAGCAAAAATGCAGTAAAGGGTTAAAAAATTAAAAATGTAGTATAGAAATGACACTCACTTTTAGTTTCTCTCTTTCTAGTTTATTTGTCCTAAATATAATTAAATAAATATAACTCCATGATTTCGATGGCTGGCCTGTTATCATCTGTTAATCATTAGCCTTTTTGGGGGAAATCACAATTTTTCCTTGAATGGGGAGAAAATCATTAGTGTGTTAGGAGTCAAAGTCTTTCGTGTGTGTGTGTGTGTGTGTGTGTGTGTGTGTGTGTGTGTGTGTGTACAGTAAATTGACTGTGGCTGACATCAGTGCTTTATTCGTAGGCAAACCACAGATTTGACTCATATCAAGCAAAGTTCTGCTCAGTGGAAACTACATTGAATTTCTAATCTACACTGACAGGCAAACACATACACACACAAACACACACACACACACACACACACACACACACACACACGTCTATATAAAGGACTGTATGACTCTTGCCATGAAAATCTTTCTTCTTGTTGACCTTAAATGGTGCTTTTCTCAGACCTGTCTTTAAACTTTATTGTAAGTGTTAACTTTAACTGTCATTAGTCAAGACATAGTGCCTCTTAACTGACTTTGACACTGTATAAAAAGTAATGCCAGTAATTGAATGGTGTTGGTACTGAAGATAATAACTTTTCTTTCCTCTTCTGTGTCTCTCTCAGGATGACAGTGGGGTGGTTAGAGATGGGAGAGGGTCTGGGGCCTCTCTCCCCTGTAGGATGGTAGCCGACAGCACAGTGGAAGGCCACGACAAGACTCAATTGTCAAGCTTATCGTCATCGTCGTCGTCGTCATCATCATCAGCATCGTCATCATCATCATCATCATCATCCTTCTCCTCATCATCATCATTGTCTTCATCATCATCACTCCGCAAAGAGTCAGAGCACCTTCAGCTTCCGGCCGCTCCAGAGCCAAGCCCGAGATTAGCGTCCGTCCCCTCTGTGTATCTGACCCACTTCCGTACTTTCTCCTGCAAGGAGGACTGCAGGATCATCACAGACACCGCCGCCAAGCTCGAACGCAGCGGCTTCTACTGGGGCCCCCTGGGGGTGGAGGACGCCCATCACATGCTGCGGGACGCACCGCTGGGCAGCTATCTCATCCGAGACAGTCGACAGAAAGACATCTTCTTCACACTGTCCTACCACGCCAAGAGCGGGCCGGTCAGTGTGCGCATCGACTACAAGCAGAAAAAGTTCTCATTGGCGGGCAACGAGCGCTCGTTCCAAACGCTCTTTGCCCTGTTGGAGCATTACATCAACTCCCCCAAAAAGAGCCTCAGCATCCCATACAGGAAATGGAAGCCAACTTTGCAGGAATTGTGCAGGAAGCGGATCATGGAGCTGTGCGAGGGAGGAAGTCTGGTGTCAGAGCTTCCAATCACACACGTGGTCCAAGACTTCCTGTTGGAATTCCCTTTCAAATTATGAGCAATTTGTTGTGTAACATTGTAACAGTACTGATTTTAATCTCAAGACAGCTGTATCTACCAAACCCCAGTAAACTGGAGGCAAAGCCTGTCTGCTGTGTGTTGATGGTGACAACTGCATTTCCATGGTTACACATTCATTCATCTCCAGGAGAGGCGGCCTCCAGCTGGACAGGGTCCATGCATGAAATTTCAACATGCGCTACCTGTCGAGAATCCACTTGCACATTGAGCACAGAGCAACTTCTGCTCTTGAGGAAGCATGAAAAGTTGGAAAAAACTGCATTAAGAGAAACCGCCGGACAGAATGGAGCCGTTACGGACACACAAGAACCGGTGGGCTCAACTGTGACCGTCCTACTGGAAAGTGTAACGTCTGCTGTTGCACATTTGTGGCCACCAGAACCTCCCAACTGTTTAAAAGTGGACTGTGGAAAGACATTAAGAGCATCAACAGTGTGGACCGGTAGAAATGCTTTGTCATATTTGAGGGTACGATTGAAACTGTCATGGCGGTGATGGGATTTATTCTTGTAGCAGATTCAAGAACTCTAATGTTATTGAATGTTTACATCACATGTGAATGTTTGCCAGCACTGAGGTCTGGTGTCAAGTTGTACTGTATGTGGAGGTCTCTCCCCTCCTGAACAATTGTCTCTGCCGGGCAGATAAATAGGTGTTTATAGAGTCAAACATATATAAATGTATTGATCATCACAGGGTTTTCCATTGATATAATATTTTTTCATTTAACATATTTAAAAAAAATAAAACGACTGACTTTAAACTGACTTTGTGTTCAGTCACTTTTTAACTGTTTCTGCAACATGTCATGTGGAGGAGTGGAAGGAGCAGACAGACAGACAGACAGACAGGAAGCATTAGATGGTTGAGTACAGTATCGTCACCACAGTGATTCATCTCTGAAGGGTAAAGTGACAGGTGGGTGGGGTTACATTGGTTGTAAATGGACTGTGTGAGAAACACACACACACACTTACGAGAAACAGCAGAGGTGACACATAATGAAGTGTGTGAGTGTGAGTGTGTGTGTGTGTGTGTATAGCAATCTTCAGAGGACCCAGCACAGATTAAACTTTCCTGAAGAGGAAGTGGGAATTTTTTAGGGGGGTTGGTGGTTAGAAGGGAGATGGTTTCAATGAAAGTCTGGGTTCGCGTCAGAGATCACATTTAACTGTAGAGTTAAAAAATAATTAATAACGTGGGCAGCACATAAAACTCCAGTGAAATAAAAGTATTAAAGAGACAAAAAGTACGAGAACAAGATACTAAATATTAGGAACGTTGAGCTGAACCACTGGCGGAAATGTGAACTGACTTAAATGCTTTATGCACCGGACGCATGTTGGCTAATGTAAACCTGAACAAGGAACACGCCTCCAATCGATTCCTCTCAGCCGGCCTAACCAGAACGCCAACACTAAAACCAAACCCGACCAAAAGCTTTGTCATCTGTTAGGGGATTTTTTCTTAATTGGCTTATTATAGCGCCACACACACACACAGACAGAGGAACATGAGTCAGTGATATTGACATGATTGCAACATCTTTTCGTTTTTCTAAGATCAACCCTCCCTTTATTTTAAGCTTTACCTAGAAATCACTATTCGCACTTTCAGCTCATCAATGGCGTGTGTTCTTGTGCAGCTGGAGGAAGGTGACGACTGAATCACACGCAGCGGTTTCATTCACGGCTTGTCAGTTTTCAGGACATTCCCGGCCGTTTAGAGAAGTGAAAGGTGAAGTGAGGTGTTTCGTGACAGCTGATTTTTCTGGAATCCTCTGCCTGAAATTTTAAACACACACAAAAACACTTCTCTGGAAATCAATCGAATTAAAGGTAAGTGCCACACGCAGGGAAACAGAAAACATCTCAGGACTAAATGTCTCAATTCGCTGAAAATCTATTTTAAATGAAAGTCTAACAACTGACACATGACGCCCAGCAGCCTAACTGGTTTGTAGTAAAGTTTTTCTTTGAACCAAACACTGATTCTTGTAAACCTTGTAGTAGTGCTGAATCCCATCATTAGTCACCAGTTTCCCTTTCTTTCGTCTGCATCCTTCACCCTCGCACCAAGTCTTTTTTTGTGGAGTTTCTCAGAAGAGTATGAAGATAACTGGTTCAGAGGAAACATTTGTCACCTAGTAAGATAATGAGTTTTGTGAATGACTTGCCAAAAAGAGTGTGGGTCATCACCAAAAGGCAGAGGAACTTCCACGCGACTGAATGAAGTGTTTCCCCTTCAGCAGAGAGAAGGCCCCCTCTTTTCAAAATCACCCCACACAGACGTGGGAGACACTTGTTCCTGCTTATCGTCACGCTTCAGCTAAATAACTGACTTCTTACAGCTGCTACATCCTGGTACTGAAATCTGTTTAGATGTTCCCAAAAAGCAGTAATGGGACATGAGAGCTCCCGGCTGCAGTATAGGTCATAAATTCTTCCTCTTCCATGTTAGGGGACGGGACACAGAAAAGTTTCTATTTTCTCATTTAGTTTGAGGTGGAGGGAGGGAAAATCCACCAACCAGCACCTTTAAATGTCAGTAAAATGTTGTCTCATGTACAAAAACTTACACTTTGCCATTTCATAGTTGGATAGTGGGTGATTTCTTGGATGCAGTAAATTCTGTCTTGTGGTTGCCCTGTAAAGTAAATGTCTGAGAAATGGCTTCACACAGTTTCTACCGCAACCATGTGATTGTAAACAGGTAAAAAGATGTTGACAACATATGGAGGTGTACATGTTTCTAACCTCTCAGTTCAAATTGATCGTCATCCATTATTGTGACTCAAACAACACGACTGCAGAGATATATCTTCAATCTTTACATCTGTCTGAACTTCTGTTTGATGCTGTGACTGCTGCGGTGTGGTGCACACACGCACCATGTCAGTATTGTTTCAGTACCAGGAACTCATTCAGGTTTACGCACACAACACCCAGACTTCCCTGAAGTGAGGAACCGCGATAAAAGTAACATACCGCAAGGTGACTGAGGGCGGCAGCAGCCACAGCGACACAAATGTAGAAAGTTTAACGGCAACGTCATGATCCTGAGGCCTTCACACCATCTAACACACACTGACACATTTTGAATTCAGGCCATGAGCAGATGAGTGCATCATTAACTCGTGTTTAAACCTGAGTGTAGAGCTGCAGAGCAGGAAGTTGAACATCTTCACAAAGTGTTGTGTGCAGCAGTTTGAACGTTACCATCTGTGTGTTTGTTCACGTGAGGCGTCTCAGTGTGGGTCCCTGACTTTAAGCTTTCTACTACATGTGACTGTTTTATACTCAGCAGCAGACATGTGAGAGGTTGATTGTGTAGAAATCCAAATATTTTACAACCTATTATTTTTTTTAAAGGGCATTTTTAAGGGTACTGAAATTCACTTCCTCTTAAAAATATCTTTTGAAACCTTGTGCTCAGAGTTGTAGAAGACGAGGGGGTGGGGGAGAGTTTTCTAATATTTCCTGTGGTTTTCTTGCTCAAACTGAGGAGAACCTCCTCTGCTCTTACTAGTGGTGTGCAGTTCTCTGAAGAATGGAGTACAAAAAAAAAAAAAAAAAAAAAACTGTCCTGGCCACAAACACAACACTCATGCAGCGCTCTCGACATTTTTAAGTAGAATAATTTATTGCAATTCTTTATTTATTCCTCTGTTTTAGTTCATTAACAATAATTACAGGTTTAAAAGCCAAAAGCATTTACAGAGCATACAAACTAATTGCATACACACACACTACAATCAGAGACTCAATAACAGATGCTTGTCACGGCACGTTTCGGTTACCAGTGGTTACGAAAACGCGTCGGCCGATTCACGTTCCTCTGAACCATCTGTGCCACATCTGCAAACTGTGCCTAAGTAAGCCTCTTCAGCATGTCAGCGCAGCCTCATCACCACTGTCATTCTTCTGCTATTTACAAAAGCAAAATGGAAACACGAGGAGACAAGACTCAAAATAAAGAGAGTATTGCTCTGAGTTTCTCATTTAAAAACTTGGTGATGACTGTACAAAGTTACAAAACAAGAATGATCGAGCATTAAGACTTCAGCTGTGTGACGATGGCACCGGAAAGAAGAGGGCGAGTCAGGAGACGGAGAAACGCAGGGCAGGTAAAAGTTTTGAAAAAGATGAGGACACACAGAGAAAATGTATTTTAAACAATCTGAGTGCTTTACAAATTAATTAAAATACACAGATCCCAGTTTCTCTAATTGATCCAATACTGACTGAGAGATAAGTTGTTACATTCACGTCTCCCCATCACTGGTTAGCTCTTCAGATTATTGCAGGAGTTAAGCTTTATTCAGATGATTGAAGGAACGATAATTCCAGGATTTAAACATAAAAATAGGATCCAACCTTTTTTTCATGGGGGGGACTCAACCACATACTAACATTTATCTATTTAAACCCATCCCTACATACATGCAGAGTAAAACTGAGCTCAGGTCAGCGCCTGAGGGGAAACCAGCAGGTACATTCAACA